ACATTTCAAGGAAGGAATTACCAGCTACCTGTTGATTAGCTGCAAAAAGCCCTAAACAGACACTGTCCTGTCCGCCTTTGTCCTGCCTGCCTTACAGGGACACCTCTCAGCATTAGCTAGCATACCACATGCTGACTACAGTCCATGCTATCGGAGAGAGGAAAGAAGGACTTCTGCTTGAACAGTGAGGTGGGGCGGCAGGGCAGGAGAAGCCAAGAAGACTCTGTTGTGTTTGCAAAGTCTCTGCTGAAGGTCCAGGCAGGGAGCAGAGGTGAGGAGCCAGCCCAACTCTCTGGAGAAGAGAACCCCACCCAGCCCAGAGAGCATGCCGGGATGCTGGGGGCTCTGATTTATCTTAAACTAGGAAGGGGTCTGGGACAGACATAAATAAATTGGTTGGAGCCAAATCAGCTGAGTCTGATCCTACATTCAACCAGGTTTATCTCAAACTGGTTTCAGCCATTTTAAAACTGGCTTATATGCACTCAATGTCTGTTCCGTTACAGGTTTAAACCAGTTTCTGATCACTTAAACCAGTTTATGTGTAATGTCCATCTCTAGTCATGGAGACAATGGGATTCCAGAACTTTCTTCCTACAAAGCTTGATGGCTGATCAGTTAAAGTATTAGCTGATCTTTGAAACATCTCACTGACCTTAGCTATAGACACAGTGACCGACACGCATCACTTTACATCACTGCAGCAGCATAGGTCCACCTGATACATAGGGGAATTGAGGCAGTTTAAGTGAGATGGTAAGACAGTAGAAATACAAGTGGCTTTTGATCAGTGTGGAAGCTGATCAGCTGTGACATGCATCATTCTTAAAGGACTGAGGCAGGGGTTCTCAAATTGTAAGTCGCAACCTCCCGGAGGGTCATGAGCAACTTAAAAGGGGGCCTCAAACTTCCCAGGAGGTATGTGCAGAAGTGGCATGGAGTGGTGGATGGCAGTGGCTGCTGCCGTGTGTGAGCTCTCAATTCGCTGCTACTTTCATCCAGCACTCGAGGTCACAGTATCACAAAGTTTGAGAACACCTGAACTAAGGCATGGCAGTAGCAGCAGCAAAGAAGCTTTGATTCATGGCATTGCATCTGCAAATTGTCATTCAGTGGAGGGATAAAGGTGACCAGCTATTAACTGGGCCTGTGCCCATCCTGGCTTGGAAAAGCTAGCTGGGAGAGACTGGGCCATTACTTTGGGGGGGTTATATCAGCTTCTCCCTTTGGGAGGGCAGAGTACCAAATACTCTTAAGTTTTCAATTGTCCAGCCCCTTTTCAAGTTATCACTTAATTCTGATTCCCCATCCATTTATTACTCTGTCTTCAACCTCCCCTATTTGGGAGAAGGTCATCGAATGGGTACTTGTTTAACAACTCCAGGCACATCAATATGCCATCAGCTCCTGGACCCTTGTCAGTCTGACTTTCATCTTGTATATAACACAGAAACTGCTCTCATAGCATTGGTCAATGATTTTCACCTGGAGATCGACAGGAAAACTGTGCCCCATGGATCTTACTTAATTGTTGTGACCTTTGATACAATTGACCATGAGATTATGTTAAAGCATTTACTTTACCTGGTGGGTATTTGCAGCCAGCTCTAAATTGACTCTACTCTTTCCTATCAGGGAGGTCTCAGAGGGTGATGATGGGTAAGTGTTCATCATTCCCTTAGGACCTTTCCAGTGGAGTCCCCCAGGGATCCATCCTGTTGCCCCTCTTGTTTAATATGTATATGAGGCCACTGGGAAAGATTGTGCAGAGATTTGAATAAGTATGCCGACGATCCCCAGCTCTACTTCTCTTTTGACCCTGGCCCTGCAGCCTCTGTCCTTTCCCAGTTCCTGGCTGCAGTTAGGGACTGGATGCAGATGAACCAACTGAAACTGAATCCAGACAAAGCAGAAGTGACAGTGGTGGGCAGACAATATAACCTAGAACACCTATTATTAATTGGATTTTGCCTCCCCTTATTACACAGTTCATAGCTGTGGCAGGGCATTGGTTGTGCCTACCACTTAAAGGGCCCAGCCAAGCAGCCAGCAGATGCTTGATTGCAGCGGCCATTTTAGAGCTCTGGCCACCTATATAAAGAGACAAGTTCACTGCTGGCAGGCCAGGCAGAAACAGCGCCTGGCTGCAAGGCTGAGTACAACACCCTGGAAGTAAGGGCAGGATCTGTAGGGGATGGTTTAGAGGCTCCTGGTCCTGCGCATGACCTAAAACTGCACCCTGCCAGGAGTGGGTGGCCTGGTGGGGCTCCCAGTGGTGTGCCAGGCCAGTTACCACCCCGGTGAAAGGTGGTTCAAGGCGCCTTAATAACCTAGCTCCCACAACTGGGTGGGTTACCCTCTAGTAGGGTCCAGAAGGCGGACCCAGGAGAGAGAGTGGAGCTATAGACTCGGAAGCCTGATTTGAAATCCCTTGACTGGTCAATGCTGGGGCCAGGACCAGAAGAGTCAAAGGGCCAGGGGCCCACTATGAGGGAAGGCCTGGGGTTCTCACTGGCCTGGAGGTGAGGCCAGGGCCTGTGTAGCCAAAGGTCCCAGGAGGACCACACCCATAAGGGGGAACAGCTCAGGGAGCTAGGTAGCCCAGAATGAAGGCAGAGTAGGCTGCTTGAGTGGAGGGATCCAGTTGAGGTCCAGACCAGAGGATTCTGGGGGCCCAGAGTGGGGCCGGTGACGTTAACAACTGTGGATGCCATCTGCAAAGCTTGGGCTCCAGTGTAGGGGAGGAACAGAGCCACAGATAGCACCCTCTGGCATTGGGGCAAAAAAATGGGTGGCCTTCCACCTAATTAACATCCTAATTAGATAACAACAAGGCATGGCAGGTGAGAAGGTGGGCGGTTGGCCCAGAAACAGGTGGGTGGACCATTGGTAGACTGGTCCCGAGAAGGCCGCCCTGTTACTATTGTAGGGGGCCTTCTTGGGACCAATCTACCAATTGGTAGACTTAGGGTGCTCCTGGATCCTCTGCTCCACTTGGATCTTCAGGTGACAGCCTAGGGACACCTTTCACCAACTCTATCTGGTAAGATGGCTGTAATCCTTTCCTTCACACTGATCTGGCCACCATCATCCATGCCTTTGTAACTTTCAGGCCAAACTATTACAATTTGCTCGACGTAGGGCTGCCCTTGAAACCCATCTAGAAGCTGCAGGTGATGCAGAGCCCTCTTTCTGATGGGGCAGCTCACCAGGAGTACATAACTCCAGTGCTCAAGTCTCTGCATTAGCTCCCTTGTTGAAGCAGGCAAACAAAGTAGGATGAGGTGTTCTTTAGGGAGTCTCTGTTTTATCTTGATATGCCAGTCCAATTTAAAGTTGTTTTGTTCTGTCACTCTCTTCATAGTTTCATAGCTGGTAGGGTCGGAAGAGACCTAAGCAGGTAATCAAGTCCAACCCCCTGCCATGGGCAGGAAAGAATGCTGGGGACAAACGACCCCAGATAGGTGATTGTCTAGCCTCCTTCTGAAGATCCCCAAGGTAGGGGTGAGAACCACTTCCCTAAGAAGTTGGTTCCAACTCCTAGCCACCCTGACTGGTTCCAACTCCTAGTCACTCATTTTCTGTGAAAATATTATTTATTTTTATTCATTCAGTTTATATACCGCCCTTCATAACATGGTTTCAGGGTGGCTTACAATAAGAAAAAAGAATTCAAAAGCAAGTTGTGTTCAAATCAGCAGGTCCCAATGATCTCCACCCCAGAGTGCTGAGGGAACTGGCAGAGGTCATTGTGGGACCCCTGGCACAGCTTTACAAGCACTCATGGTGCTCTGGCGAGGTGCAAGAGGACTGGAAAAGGGCCAATGTGGTCCCCATTTTCAAAAAAGGGTGGAAAGAGGACCTAGGAAACTATAGGCCCATTAGTCTTACCTTGGTCCTGGGGAAGCTCTTTGAGAAAATTATCCAGGACCACATCTGCAAGGGACCAGCAGGGGAGATTATAGTTAGAGGCAATCAACATGGGTTCATTAGAGGCAGGTCCTGTCAAACCAACCTGGTTGCCTTCTATGACCAGGTCACAAAAGCCCTAGATGTAGGTGTCAGGGTAGACATAGTCTTTCTGGACTTTAGGAAGGCCTAAAGTCTAACCATAATCTCCCTTGCTGGTCCCTCACAGATGTGCTCCTGGATAATTTTCTCAAAGAGCTTCCCCAGGACCAAGGTAAGACTAATGGGCCTATAGTTTCCTAGGTCCTCTTTCCACCCTTTTTTGAAAATGGGGACCACATTGGCCCTTTTCCAGTCCTCTTGCACCTCGCCAGAGCACCATGAGTGCTTGTAAAGCTGTGCCAGGGGTCCCACAATGACCTCTGCCAGTTCCCTCAGCACTCTGGGGTGGAGATCATTGGGACCTACTGATTTGAACACAACTTGCTTTTGAATTCTTTTTTCTTATTGTAAGCCACCCTGAAACCATGCTATGAAGGGCGGTATACAAACTGAATGAATAAAAATAAATAATAATTATTTTCACAGAAAATGAATTTAAAGAAATAAGAAACCAACAGTTAGAGAGGTGTCTTTTTGGGTCTGAACCACCTTCCAATAAAATCAGTGCCAGAATTCTTATTGCATGAAAAGAATTTGGGCTTTTGCCCTCAATTTTTCAACTGTAGTTTGCACTACTCCTGTCTTTCAGAATTAGTCAGCCATTTCCTACTGGATGTCTGTGACATTTTAATTTTACAGTTCATGTATTGCATTGGTATTTAGGTCTACATAAGATAAAGGCATCCTATTATCAGTATCATCATCATCCTCCCCTTTTCCTTTTTTTTAAAGCATTCATTTATGTCACAGTAGATTATAAGGCCATTGGAGAAGAGATAACGAATATCTGTGTTATTGTACAGCTCCTACTGAAGGGAAGCATCAGTTCTGTTCAAAGCCCTCAAATAGTGTCACAAAGTAATCAGTTATATCCTTGCATTTAGTCTTGTATCTGCTCATAAATGCATCAATCCTTTTTTTTTTTTCAGGCTATGCCAGTTATTTCAGAAAAGGAGAAGGCGGGTGAGTAAACATTCACTTGTTTTCTCTTCTTGTATTTGTTTCCTGGAATGCTGGCCTACTTACCCTAGTGGTAAAAGGCAAGCTTTAGCTAGGCTTTCTTTGCAATGTACAAGATTATAGACCTGACAAATCTCTGTGTAAATATCACTCTGTTTCCTGAACTGGATTTGTTTCTCTCTGTGCAAGAATCATATATCCTATGTGATACTAATACAGATGCTTGAAGATGTTCTCCAAAGCATCAAGTGAAACTCCATTCATCCATTGTATGCCGGGTGTCAATTCTCTACTTTTAAAAGGCTTTATGATTTATCTGAAGTCTTGATTAACAAACAGGGAAGCATATAAAGCTGTTCATCTTAGCTAAGCAAGCAGGATTTCACACAGTGGCTGGATTAGTACTATCTGTACATTAGAATAACAGAGACTAGTGGTCTTCTGAGGTCTTTAATTGGAGTTTTGCATTGTATTGTGTTACTTTGGAAAAAACAATTAAGTGCCATTAGCATAGTAAGAGACAAATTTGGTATCAGTGTCTGGTATTTAGGTTCTTTGAATGTCATAGCTCTTCTGATTTGATTAGGTGGTATGTATTAGAAGACATGCTTGAATATTGTGAAATGATGTAATGAATACTAGAATGCATAATGCACCAAATGATTTCTAGATATGTAGTGAAAAGTACAATTCATAAAGGTTAGTTCCATACTTTTTTCCTGATTCTTCTGATTCTTTCTTGACTAGTGTTAATTATAGCTTTAAGATGATTTTGCAGTGTTGATGTGAATGCTTAGACACTACTTGGCATTTGATTTTTCTCTGTTGTTTATTTATGACAGTTCTTTAGCACTCCTGATTGAGGCTGTTTCTTTTCTTGTGCTGGGTAAACAAGGGGGAACAGTAAAATATGTGTGCATGCCTGTGTGTACATGTGTGTGTACATACATGCAAAATTCATGAAGCAAAATGTGCCCTCAAGCAAGCTGTGTCTCGGGTATTCACCGGCCATTTTCTTTGATGAAGTTCACAGTAATTCCCAAAATTGTGTTCAGTATTTAATAAGCCCATAATTTTCCAAATAAATAAAAGGCCCTATTTTTTTTTCTTTTTGCTTTCTAGAGAGGCCATATTAAGATTGTTTATATTATATTTCAGGGTAGAAACTGATACCTGGTAAGATGATACCTATTCCTTATGGTATTTTAGAGACTGCTAACTCATTTCAAATGATCTAATAAGAAACCACAATAATGACTTTTGTTCACTATCAGTACTTACTATGTAAAGCCATCAGATCACTCTAAAAGCCATTAAGAAATCCTCTAAATATGGACACCCAGTACACATACAGAGCAGGTACTGTCCCCAGAAATATGCCCGCCTTGCTCCCAGTCTGTGTACAAATAACTTGTTTACTGCTGCATTATATAAAGTTACATTTAAAAAATCAGGAATTCATGGTAACATGGAATTGTATAGAAAGATACGATGGTTGTGCTTTTGGGACAGAAGCAGACTGGGATAGATCCCATTCTGGTAAATTATGGTGATCTGACCATATCTAGGATGGATCTCTTTATGGCACCCCAGTAGACTGGGGCTGTGCACTGGCCGCAGCATGTACAGATGGTCTGGGGTTCAATCCAGAATGGCCCTGGAGGCAGCATGCAGGGCTGATCCAGCAGGATGCCTCATGCAACTTGTGCCCCAGACCCCTGGGCTCCTACAGACGTGCAGAGAACCTGCTTCAATGGAAATCCAGTACGTCAGAGCAGATTTGACTAATCAAGTCTACTTGAACACAGAAATTGACATGCTCCAGCAGCCTTCTGTGTCATATGTACCTGTCCCCATGCTGAAAAAATTCCAGAGGGGCCCTTTGGAATAAAACATGTTCAATGAGCTTTAGTTCAAAGCACCCCACTGACATTTTTTCATGGGGACATGCAGGGACACAAATACTCGTGACACATGGACACTTTTAATTAGAACAGCTCACTCATTAAAGCACCCAGTGCTATCTCCCAAAGTACATGTAAAAATACGTCCTGTGCTGTATGGGCATCAGTCCAGAGCACTGCCTGTTGCTCGAGCTGCCAGGGGCTACAATTAGGCCTTTTAGCTTAGGCTTATGTTTCAAAATGCAGGTGTTCCAGACTCTTCAATACCTGCTACTGATGCCCCACTAATGTGAGCTGCATTGCTCATAACACGAGAGATGGAGCACTGAATGACATATACCAATATTCCAGAAAAGAAGATCAAGAGAAATGTTATGCCACTTGGCATAAAACTGCATACAGGTCTACACGTAAAGTGTTAAAGGAAAAAAAAAGGGCCTTTAAAGTTCAGTTTCCAATTCAACTAACTAATAAAACTTCTTTAGTCTATATTTCTACAAACAGACTCAGATTAAAGCTATAATACATGAGCAAAAATACACTGTTATATCTTTGGGTCATGAACAGCGCGTGCCCCCAGTGGCTGCGGGGGCACAGCTGCACTAGTGGCAGCAGGAGCCCAGCGGCGATAAGCTGGGAGCTGCCACAAATGCTATTGGCACTGTTGGCTGGGGAGGGGGGGTGTGACTACCTGCAGGCACCACTGGCAGTGTCAGCAGTGGCCAGCAGCAATCATGGACCACCCACAGATGCCGCCAGAAGTGTCAGTGATGGGGTGACAAGTGGCAAATGCCTACAAGTGCCACTAACAGTGTCAGCAGCACCTTTTTGCAGGGGGTGTGCCACCACGCTCACAGGGTGCATGTGCACCCGCGTGCACCCCCTACGCATCACCCCTGCTTTGGGTGATGTTAGGAAAAATTAGTGTATAGGGAGAAGGATAAAAAAGCTCAAATAGAATAAATATTGACTTGAAATTTTCCCTGAAAGCTAAACCAAAACTTATTTTCACATTTTGAAAAGTTAATAATAATACTTTATTACTGATCCCTTTTCCCAATATATTATTTGCTTTCATCCTGAACTGGAAAGAGAAACATAGAAATAAAGAGTGAAACTATTAGTTCAGTGTTTCTGCTTTAGAAATACTGGAAATATTATTAAAAACCTGTTTGCACAGGACTTCCTATTCTGTAGATTCCAGAAATTCAGAAACTTTCAAGTTGTTTTGAATAAGCAGCTGAATATTTGGGTTCTTAACTGAATCAAGCTGTCAAAGCTTTGGAAGTTAACACATCACTAATCAAGTTTAGGTGCAGTTAATGCTTAAAATTAAATATTTTGCCCATTTTATTTTTTTTCCAACTTGGAGAATAGTTTACATCGAAGATAATATCTCAGCTAGAATACTTTAAATTAAGCTATTTTTAGTTTTAGAGCTTAACCAAGATATAATTTGAAAACATTATTCCTTTTGTTAACTAATAATTCAAGCATGACAAAAATTATTGTGTTTATAGTGAAAAGTGCAGTAAGACCTTAAAATGCCAGATCTCTGTGGTAGAATGCTATAAGTGGATAATCATCTTTTCTGCTGGCCAGAATATTACGTGGACCTAATCATATAGGGTCTTGATTCAGTTTGTCTAAAGACTATGCACATAAGTAAAGACTTAGATAATGAGAGCCTTAACAGAGGTTTTATTTTGCTTGATTCTATAGACCATGCTGACATTTCCATCTGTGGGAAAAGGTTTAAAATGAATTATCTTGTGGCCTATAGACCTAACATACTCAAGAAAAGATACATAAAACACGCCAGCTGATAGAAATTAAAATGCTTATTTTATGCAAGGAACTACAGTAATAGAAGTTTCTCCCACTTTTGCTGGGCAAAAGTGAAAGTATAGTCTGCACATGATCCACAGGGAGCAGACCAGTGAGCAGACTTGGCTCCCCAGCTGCTGCTACTCAGTTACTATAATGAAAGATCTTTTTTTTCTTCTTTCTTCCTTTCAAAAACAAGGTGCATGTCTTATTCTGGGGTGCACCGTTAGCGAGAAAATATAGTACTCCTTCCACATTCTTCTCATATTTTGGTGCCTGTATGTGACAGGGCTAAGCACAGGCATCAAAGAATAATAGCAAAATGGAACAAGCTACCTAGAGAAGTTGTGAAATGATCTTAAGAAGAATCTAGATAGGCACATCTCTAAAATAGTTTAGGGATGGCAAATCCTGCATCTTTGCAGGAGCTTGGACTAGAGGACCCTAGATTTAGACAGAATCTGTGTGCATAAGTCCAAATATTTGATTAACCAAAGTTTTGCCTAATCCTCTAGGCAACTGCAAGTCCATAGGTGCATAATTTTTTTTCCAGTAAAGTTCTCTGACTGCCTAAGGTTCTGTTTCTAGGTGTATCCAGAATGGCACTTCTCTCATGCCTAAGGCCTATTGGGA